AAAAAAGTTTATGTTTTCAAAATCATTATTGAAAGGTTTAGTAAGCAATAGAAGTAAAGAAAAATTTGGAGAGGAAAAAAAAATCAAAATTTCCTCTGTCTTCTACAATGATTTCATCTCTGCATTATTGTCCAGACTTTGTCCATACTCATACATATTTTAGAGAGATAGTGTGCATAAGACTGTGACACTTCATAAACATTATCATGTATTTCCATAGTCCTCATAATTACTAGCTTTAATTGTTGCTTAATACTCATAGTATTGCCAGGCACAATTCTAGCACTTAGGGGCTGAGAAAGGAGGATCCCCAAGAGTTTGAGGCCAGCATGGGCTACATAGTGAGTTCAAGGTCCTCCTGAACTACAAAGTAAGATCCTGTCTCAAAAAAAAAAAAAAAAAGAAAAAATAAACACACAGAAAGAAAGAAAGGGGCGGGGAGGGGGGGGAGAGAGAGAGAGAGAGAGAAAGTTTGCTAGCACATTGTATTGATGAAACAATTTTCTAAACTTTTTAAGGAAGAAATTACAATGCATTTACAAAATAGCATCCCTGCAACCTATAAATATATCATCCTTATTACCCCTAAGATGCTCCAAATGTGCCTAATGTAGAAGAAAAGTAAAAAGACTAAAGTAATCATTTTTATTTTTTATTTTTATTTTTTTGGCACTGGGAATCAAACTCTGGTCCTTGCACTGGCAAGGTAGGCAGCAGAACCACTGAGCTAAATCCCCAGCCCAAGTAATCATTTTTAAAAAGACTATTTTCTAGGTGTTTACCAAGTATTTTGACACTGATCTAAGTCCAATAGAATAGTGAATGAAAGACAAAAAACAAAGAAAACCTGACTAAAATCAAGAAATAAACTGCAAGAGAAACTCCTAGACACACTTTCTCAAACTAGAGTGAAGAATAAAAATAGAGCAAAACAAAATCCAAGGCTTGTGACTCCATATACTGTATCGCAAAACCATGGCTGTTGCTCATCAACATATTCAACACAGCTCCTCTGACAGCAGCAGACCAGAGCCTGGTTTCTTATTGATTGGAAGTTCTCAAACTTTTTCTTTAATGGGCTAGCATATAGTACAGATTTGGGGCTTTCTCAGGATAGAGTCTCTGTTGTAATTACTCAGCTCTGCCACTGTAGAGTAAAAACAGTCAAACACAATACAAAAAAAGAATGGGTATGGCTGTGTTCCAATAAAACTTTATTTATAAACACTGGCTGAGAGCAGGATTTGGCCTGCATGCCATAGTTTGCTGATCCTGTTCTATAAGGTTCAAAATGACCTCTCAAATATGTTAACCAGAAACAGAAGGAATGCTATCCTCAAGTGGAAAATCCCATTAGATTTACCTCTGCCATGACTCATTTGTAATTTTATTTCCACACTCAGTGCCTCAGCCCTAAATCAGATTTTTATTATCTTTCATTTGTACACTTCCCCTGATTTTGCATATGCTGTTCCCTCAACCTGAATTCCTTTTCTCCCAATCACCTATTAAAATATTCTTTGCAAAGATCAGTTCAATTGACTCAAAGCCCACCAAACTGGAAAATTAAGGACTGACTGTCATTATTTTCAGAGAGCTAATGATATTGTGGTTATGTATTATTTTAAGGTATTCCCATCTTTTGGATATACATATTGAAATTGTTATAGAAGAAATACTATGATGGTCTGGGATTTGCTTCAAAATAATCTGGGGAGGAGGTGGAGGTAAAAGTGGAAGCAAAGGGACAGGAATGTAGGTCAAACACTGACAGTGATGATGAAGCTGCATCATGAGTACACAGGATTCATTACACATTTTTCTCTATTTTTGCATATTTAAAACTTTTTCCACAACAAAAGCTGAAAAGAAACATTTCAATTCATGCCAGATTCTACAGAGCAATTAGTGTCTCTTCCCTGTGCCACCCGGCATATGCGAGTAGTTACTACTTAACACCAAATCTACGCTCTACATTATACTGCGCTGCTTACACTAAGAGGCTGAGCTCCTTAAGGACAGGCCTGAACACAGTCATCTCCACAGCTTCTCAACACTTCAAGCGTAACGGCCAATGGACATTCAATGTTCTGCTGTAATTATTTGAAAACAGAATGAAACCAAACAAACCAGAGGAAAAAACAGTAACAGAACTATCTTCCACTTCTCCTCCCCCCTTCCCATCAAAATGAAATCTTAAGGACTTTTTTCCTTGTAATTGTATCATTTATACAGAGATCATAGGGGATCTCCAGCTCTGAGATTAAAAGAATAAAATAACAATTATTTCCCTCCATTTTCAATGAGCCAGTAGGATGTGAGGAAAACAAGATTTGGGTTCATAAAAAATGAGACTGCGTGTAATTCCAGCATTCTGGGAGGTTGAGGCAGAAAGATCAGCAAGTTTGAGCCCTGTCTAGGCAACATGGAAAGACTCTGGCTCAAAATAAGAAAAATTTTGGGCTAGGGATTTAGCTCAGTGGTTCCACTCACTGCCTCACAAGCGCAAGGTCCCGAGTTTGATCCCCGGTACCAAAAAAATAAAAACAGTCTGAGGTTGTAGCTCAGTGTGAAAGCCATGGGTTCAATCTCTAGTACCACACATGCACACAAAAAGGATACCGCATTAATATTCTCTTCTACGGGTTCCAAGGCAACCAGTATTGTTACTATAATATAATCTTTATTATCATTATCATTCCAGTGGAATCCTAGTGGTCATCTAGCCTCATTCAGAGTTCAGAATCATGTGTTTGGGGTTGGGGCTGTAGCTCAGCAGTACACTGCTTGCCTAGCATGTACAAGCAAGGTCCTAGATTGTTCCCAATACACACACACACAGAATCAAGTGTCTGTTCCACTTATTAAGCATCTATTAATCCATTACTTAGTTCCACTACAAATCCCCTTTCTAACACAAAAGGAGAAGAAAAAAATTCTGCTTCAGATATTCAGTGAGGCTAATTATCACTGTTAGCCTTGGTTTCTTTAATTTGGAAAACACACCAAGAAGTTTTCATCCGGTAGCTCTGGTTTCGATTTTTAAAATGCCTTAAGTACTTCAGAAAGCCTAGCAAACTCATGATGCTATACTTAGCACAAGATTCCCTCAGCCCATATTATACAAAATGAAAACTTGCTTCTGAAAATGGATAGCTTTTCAAAGGACAGAACTTAATGCATCAAGCATAAATACACACGATCTTGATGTGAAAGGAAAAAATCCCAGTCATCTTTGCTCTACTGCAAATAGCTCCTGATGCTGAGTCCAACACAGCTCTCCCTGAAGGGACCTTCTCTCTCCAGCATTGTATATCAGCTCCAGGCCTATGTCCCGAGCCTGTGTCTTCAAGGGCAAGAAAAATTTTTTAAATTGCAAAAACATTCATTTCTCTGCTAAAACCAATGAACACACCAACCTACTTCCATTTCCCCAACTTCCATGTTCCTTGAAGGCATATCAGGTCTAAGACCTCAGGAATTTCTCATATTCTTCCTCAGTCCTGGCTACCCATCCCTTGAAGGTAAGTGAGTATAGAAGCAACAGATGGTGAAGGCCAGAGTAGCTGGAAAACCAGGTATAATGAGCAAACAAATACATGGAGGATAATGAAAGATTTCTCCATCCTGGAAAATGTATTTACAAACATGAAAAAGGGTAAAGCAGGAAAGGTGAGATGTCATTTGTTACAGACATATACATAAATAGAT